TTCTAAATGCCTAAATGGATTATAGACAGACAAGTTGAAATTTTGAGCCCATCAGATATGTCCTTGAAAGATCCCACTGGCTGACATGAGTAGGTGGTACGCACAGATATCTGAAGGCATATTTATGTAAGTGATTATGAGTAATTTATTTTTCTGTATTTTTTGTGAGTGATTTATGTCTGCTGTGTATAGGATTTACCCGGGGTCTAGAAGGAGGTTTTTTTTCTGTGAATTAGGTAGTTGTTCCTGTAACATTAATTTCTGTTTGAGCCTGAGCTTGCTCTCCAAGCTCCCATGGACTTATGTGGAAAAAGAATCAGAGCCTTTGCACAAGTTTAAGTAAATGGTTTGTGTATTTAATGTACAGCTATCACGTATGCATGTTATTTTTCAGAGAATAGAAGTGACTTGTTTGAGTACGCAAGTCAGACACTTTTAGCATGGTCTCTATTCTGTTAAAAGGATGCAGTTCTCCACCTTGACATCAACAAATTCACCTCCAGTTACATTGCTGAAGGGAGGGCTGCTTTCTGACTTTACTGTATTCAAACAGTTAACAACACACCTGAACTTTGCTTAAGCGTGAAAAGCTAAGCTATCTGGGATTGTAGTCATGGGTAGCATACAGACCTTACTCTTTAGCAGCCCAGTCCTGGAAAGTTCTGAGCCCTTAACTCTTGTTGAAGTTAAGGGCAATGAAGAGCTCTCATCAGGATACATGACAGAGCCATAAGATACAGGAAAACAGTAATCAACCTTGTCAGAGTCCAAGAATAGATAAGCATGGGCCTCCTATAACTATACAGTCAGAGCCCTTTGCCAAAAACAGAGATAAAAGTGAAGGGATTTTTCTACAGAACCAATATTTACAAATGTTTTACATATATACATATTTATATATTTATTTATACCTGGACAGTATGACATTAAAGGGATCATTTATACTTTACAAATAAAACATTTTAAAAATGTATATATCATGAAAAAAAAACTTTTTATTGCTTGCCTTCAAACCTCATACACTTTATCAGACTATTGCACACATCTCTTCATTACATGGAAGATCTACATTTATATATAAATATATATGAAAATAAGAATATTTCTATTTTAATGTTTCAAGTAAAGTGCTCATTTTTCATATAATGTTGATGAATAAGGATAATTTGATTGGAGGAATTAAGGGAATACACATTTCATTAGTGTTGCTCCCCTTTGTGTGTTAGGGAATATATATATTTTAATTATTGTTCAGGTCTGTCTTTACTTTAAATTCTACTAATAAAATGCATTTGTGACCTTGGCATCTATACTATCATGCAAAGCACAAAATAGATTCACATAAAAAACCAAAGAAAATAAAACAGAAAATAAAAGCAATGTCAGATTTTTTCATTGTTTCCATGTATTAAGATAAGTCTTTTATTCATTTTTAGAAATATTTGTACAACTTTGTTAAACTCTGAACATACCTATTTTATGCACTATACTCAAGTACTGTACAAAACTGCAATAAATGACACTATACGACTACATATGTTTCTACTATAAACACACCATCGTAAGGGTGCATCGCTTTTAAAAGGTCAACTAATAACTGCTAATGTATATGTGAATCAAAATATTTTTGATTGGCCAAGTATATTAAAATCTAGATACAGTACACAATTATTTTATATTATGATTTACCAGGCCTTTAGGGGCATAAAGAACATCTGCAAAGATTCAGACAAAAAGTAATTTTATTGATAGGTATTAAATAGTCCTATAAAATTGCAAATGGTAGCTCTGATTTTGCTATTTTTGCATATATGAAATTGCTGACAATTACTGATGATGCATAAATGCATATTAAAAATTCAAATCTTAGCAAAACCATTTTTAGTATACAAATTGTAAAGTTATGACAGTGAAATGTAAAGTTGCAATTTACAAAAGCGGCAATACATCTGGCCCCTTAGGACAACTTCTTGGACTAAAATCATGAACTGTTGTTTCCTCTGAAAATAATGGCTTCTGTAGGCAGATATAAGGAAGCCATTTAAGGCAGATTTGACTCTATTACTAAGCAGAAAAAAGAGCATCTTTTATTTCTGATATACTTAACCCTGAATCATTTTGGAGTGTTCATTACCAATATTTATGAGTGTAACATAAACATAATTAAAACTAACAAACAAGCAAACAGACTTTCCTGACCATGATGAACAGGGAAATGAGCTGAGCGACTTGAAAAAATATTGAAAAGAAAACCAAAATATTTTCTAGTAGACATTGACTGATGCTAAACAACATATGCTCATTAACATGAGTTCAAATCATTCTTTAATAATTTCAAAGGTCTATAACTAAAGAACTAGTATCCTTAGTATTCTAGTAAACTTTACTCAATTTTAAAGCAAAAATTGTATTCAGAATGGATGTGAACAAGAGAACAGCAAGAGCTCACCACTCTATATATGTACATGGGCACTGCTATTATATGAAATAATTATCTTTTTAAAAAAATCACTTTTTTAAATGATAGGTTCTTCCATTAAATTATTATCAGTTATTTTATAGAAAAATATTTTAACTTTAAATTAAAAAAATACTGTTCCTAAATAATTCTGCAGGACCATATTTTCATTTCCTTGCAGGGAGGGGTTATACTTCTGTATATCTGAAACCTGGTTTAAGAGAACTCCCCTGGGTATAACTTTTAAAGAGCTGGCTATATTTGCCATGGGTGCTATCTGTTTACAAATCCCATGAATAAACAGTGTGCCTCCTTTGGAGATACACAGATAAACTATCTATATACACTCTGTACATATTGGTTCACAGATTAGCAGTTATTAGTCGTACTGTACATAGGAAACCAACCTATCTGATTATAATGATGCTATACACCCCCAGTGCAATTTGGCTTTTAGGTTGATGGGGCAAAGCCAAGTAGGACAGGTTCTCTATTTAAATATGTAGCCCAGTACACTAGGTTAAAAGTACCAAATAAGACTGGAAACACTATTCTGGACATTCTGTCAATTTTGCTAACACTGTTGAATGTTTTCTTTGCTTCCTGTGGCTTGGTTTCTGGTTTTGCCTTGTTGGGTTCTGCAGTTGTAGCGCTCTTGGAGATTGTTGGTAGAACCGAGTCCTTGGTAATATTTGGAGCATAATTAGCAACGGCCACTGCATAGGCATTATTTTTCTTAATGACAGATGCTTTTTCTTTTTTCTGTCGGAAGACAGCATGAAATTAAATATTTATTGCATCATACACTTGGCATACCAGTTTCAGTAAGTCGCACCAAAAATTAAAACAAAACATAAAACAAACAATAAAATGGTAAAATAAGAATCAGCATGAACTATAATGAGAAAGCGGTATGTAGAGTAGGAAGCCTCACTCTCTGAGAGAAGGTATTGTTTCACATGCCAATCCTATGCAAGGGTCTGTAAACAGAGTCCCTTATATCACCTGAAGTTCCACTGACGTCAAAGAGACTCTTCAGGAAATAAGGGTTTGTGTACTGTGGAAATCTTTGCAGGTCTGAAATCTTAGAACAACAGCTACTATCTAGGTTGACAGAGCTGGCCTCTGAAAAGCACTGCAATCTTTACTTTTGACTCAATTGTAAAAGTATGGCTGTAACAAATGGCAAAAGGCCAACAGGAATTGGAAGTGCCTCAGCAACACAAAATGGCAACCCAGAATTAAAGGTAGGAGTGACAAATACAATCTTACTCCGACTGACCCACTATACAGTCCTTGCTTTAGTAAATCGAGGGGACCATTCTAAAACAGTCCATTTGATGGGACCGTTAATGAGAGATTGCACATTAAAATGCAAAACAAAATATAGGTCTGTGCGTATGTTTGAACACATTAAGATCTAGCAATAGAAGAAGGTGCATACCTGAGGATTGTCAGTACTGCTCCCCTTTATAATCACTGCCTCAAGTATACATTATCTTATCCCTGCTTCACATCTGAAGGCAATACGGACTGCCAGTAGCCATTCCCACTCCCAACCCTTTTTCTTTTCCCTGCTTATTCCAAAGCTACATGGAGTTGAGGTATAGATTAGCTCTCTTATACTATTACATGCACAAAATGTGGACTAGAAGTTATACATGCATGCATGGTCCACAAAACTTTTCCACTCCTTCTCCTGTTCCCTAGAGGATCTACCTGTGAATTATATAAGAAAGCGTGTTTTAAAATGTCTAATCACCATTTCTGTTTTCCCTGTTTCTGTTGTTTGTGTACTTTTGCATTCACTCAGCTGGGTTCATGATTTTAAAAAGCCTGATTTCCATGCTTTTCAGTTAACTCCATTTCACATGTGCTAACAAAATAATGCACTGTTTAGTTTGAAAGCACTGTAGGGGAATAGATAAAACTTAAGAGTTTTAATTTACATATCTCTGCAAAGAATAGGATGAAACAGCATTATGATCAGAGAGATGTCTCTTTCTAGGAGGTTCGTAAGCGACCGCTGTTTTGGTTTGTTTGTTGTTTTTTTTTGGTGGGGGGGGGAGGGAGAGGGCGGGAAAAGATTTTGTGAAATTCTCTTTGCAGGAGTTTCATTTCAATTGTGGCACAGATAGAAGTGACAATTTTTACCCGATCTGGCCACAGAAAGCAGCCTATAGTCATGACTAAACAAGTGCAAGATTGCAGACAGCTTCAAAAATGGCTGATCAGCCAAATATCTGAACCCTCATTGCATTTCCCATTATGAAAACTTTGCAGCCTCGCAAGGCGATTGCTCGTGGAAACTGGCTGCAGGCTCACAGCCAGCAGCTATATTCTTTTTTCCCCTGGAACCAACAGTGAACTTCTGTTTGGTCCCAGGGATCATTGTAACTCAGAAAGCTTCCTGCAAAGCATTCTCAGGTACAGCAGGGAGCTACATTTCTGTCTGCACCTTTGGTGGTTAGATCCCCTAACTTCAGGTTGAAATATAGTTAGCTCCCCCAACTCCCTTTACTAAAGATCTGCAGGGATTTCCTAGTGATCAGGACCATCTGTACAATTTGGAGTTTGAGGGGAAGAGCATGTAATGCAGGGCTGTGAATCAAAATAACAACAAGGATATATTTCTTGGAAGATACAAAATTTCAATGCCTACTTCAGGGTTAAATAAGAACTTAAGTGGAATGTGAACACAGTCATTTCTTGTTGCCCTGATGAGCTGCTCTCTTTAGCTGCTAATTGATGGACATAAAAAGTCAGGGGGAAAAAAAGTATAAAATAAAGAGGAGAGGGGCATACTAGCCAACCTACAAAATCCCTTCCTTTATGCCAATAAGTGTGATTTTAATATTGTAGTCCTCTTGGGAATGTTGAAACTTTAGCTCTGAAATCTCAGAAGATAAAAAGATAACAATATGAAAATAAATACCTCAATATTATAAATACTCTGGTATGGAAAAGCTAATTTTGTTCCAAATACAATGACTAAATTTCAAATATTCAAAAAGAGAGTTACTGGATTGATCATACTTATTATATGGTTTCTTAAAAGACTTATTGTTTTCAACTGACCATATGTAATTGACTTTGAAATAAAATCAGATTATTTTCAGAATGGATAGTTCAAAAAGCAGTAAAGTACAAATACTGAGAGAAGGAGCACATTGTATAGTACTTACTACAACAGGAAACAGAACTGGACACTTTAGATTTGCAAGAAATAAAATGAAGAAAATATCAACCAATTCATGATAAGGAAAGGGGTTTTCATATGAAGAATGACAGTCTGAAGTAGATGTGCTGTTGATGCCAGAATACTAGAATGTGGTTTGTATAGTCCTCTTCCCAGGGAAGGCATGCTAAAGCTGTTAAGCAGCTGCCACTTTTAAAATCATGCCACAACACTGTTACTTTTATTTAGAGAAACAGCTGAAGGATGATCGGAGAGTTCTTAAGGTCTTCTAACATCATTAAATTATAGTGCCAATGTGCCAGTCAGAAATGCTTAATTTGTTTGACATGCAGAATTTATTCCTAGACTCCTGATTCTGCAGTTCTGTTACATGTACTATACCTATTCAATGGATTAAAACTTCAGGATGATGTTTTTTCAGGAAAGTCTCAGCAGTCTCTTTGTGTCTGTGCACTTAAGACATCAATATATTTTATTTATATGAAGAAGCATCCGTACTCCAATATTTTGTCTGATCTCAGTTTACATTTAATTTTAAATTCTGCTGCCAACAAGCAAGCAGGGATAAGCTTTTGGTGTTCTGAACCATTTTGAAATACACTGAAGTCAATTACTAATATAGTTTTTAAATGGAGTAGGTGCTGGGCATCATCCAGTTGTATTTCTGATCCTCAACCATCAATCATTTTCATAGAAATAATTTCTCAAATTTTGTGATTTCTTTGAGACCTCTAATTAAATTGGGTTAAATTAAGGTGAGCTCATTGGTCAATATTAACTGGATCAAAATTTCTTTGAAAAACAATGTAAATTGAAGTGTGCCTGATGGGATAAGAAATAGGCCTGTGTGAAGCTTCAGTCCCTGATTTGATTCAGCAGAGATTCAGCCTGATTCGGTGCCCAAATCTCTGAATCAAATCAGAGGACCCTTTAATCTTTCCGAATTGATTCAGAGAAATTTGGAAAGATTCGGACATAGAGACAGCTTTAAAGGTTTTTTCTACGCACCTGTAGGTAACAGGGGCTTGTGAATGCTGCAATGCTGGGGCACACGGAGCATCCCACAGAAGCACAGGGGGCACCCCAGGGTGCTTGGCAGCAGACCCGGAAATGGACCAGAGGCACTTCTGGTCCACTTCTGGGTCTGCTGGAGACTGCACAGGGGCCCCGCCTTGCACCTCCCCGGCTCAGCGACTGGTGCCTCCTGGTTCTGGGGGGGCACCTGGGGTCCCCCTGTGGCCAATCGCCAAGCTGGGGAGGCATGTGGGGGTGGGGCAGCAAGCTCCCCAGCAGACCCAGAAGTGAACTGGAAGTACTTCTGGTACACTTCCAGGATTCACCACTGAGCACATGGAGGGCCCCCTGCACTCCTGTGGGATGCTCCATCAGCCACACCTGCTACCTCAAGATATGTAGATATGTAGAAAAAACATTTACAGCTGTTTCTATGTCTGAATCACTGATTCTCCAAATCAGCATCGAATCTTCAGATTTGGATTCAGCCAAATTGAATCAGGGACAGTGATCAGAATCAAATAATTGAATCACTGTTCCTGACTCAGGCCAAATTTGAATCCAAATTGAATAGCGCCCATTTTGCACACTCCTAATAAGTAATGCAGTTGTTCTTTACTAAATACTTATTTCACTTAAAATATATATTTAATAGTGGACTCTGGGTTATTTGGAAGCAGGCTCAGAGAGCCAAACTGTCATCAATGTTAGTCTGTTTTTAATCAAGATTTAAAATAAGAGCCAAATCCTGATATTTTCACGTAAGTGAAATTCCTGTTTTGCCTGCATCTCATGATCTTTCAGCCACTAATACCTGAGTAAAATGGCTATACTATGTGGTCTTGTTAAGGCTCTGTACGTAATTCATGACACTCCAGTATACTTATTTTACCAAATGTCACTTTTTAGCACTAGAAATAAAACAAACAGATAATTCAACTTACTTTTCATTGAAGTCAGAGTGAATCTTTCCACTGACTTCAATGGCTGGGGCCTAAATGCTACAGATCGTCAAAAAGTCTGCACTATGTGATTACAGAGGGCTACATTTTCAATAATAAGGTCTAACATTTTGCCTGTAATATGTTAGCACATTTGCGAAATATGTAATTATACATGCAAGACAGATTGCTGTTTTTATTTTATGCATTCAATTAATTGTATATACCCATACTTTGCCACTGCTTTTTAGACCCCTGTTTTTGAATACTGTATAGGAGAAGAATTTGAGACTGACCTATTCAAACACTAAGAGAGGTTACAGTTAATTTAATGGACAAAGTATAATTAAGAAGACAGACAGGGAGACTGGGAATCAGGAACTACAAATTCTGGGTCTAGGATGAACATAATGGTTTTTTTTCCCTGATCTTTAAAATTGAGATATGCAAGTCAACCTCAGGTTCTAAATGAGACCAGGCACCCACATAAAGAATCAAGCCATACCCATTTTGCTTCCATCCCTGCTACGTTTTGAGTTTGCAAATTTGTGGTGTAAGTGGCCTGGTGCCATCTGAAGAGCATGTCCAGGGATAAGGCACTCTTCATATCTCAAGACAGTCTGTATTGAGGATCCAGAGTATGATGTCAAGGCAAGGGACTGTGCCAAGTCATTTACACCAATTGCAAGCCCCTTAGTGCGAGTGCCAGTGGGAGTGGTATATTTCTTCAGCAGCATGCTGAAACAGCAGACTGCAGCACAGTAACATGTTAGGTATAGCTATCTCACAATTATGATCATAGGCTGATATTAAATTATTAAGATTTGTACAGCACTAATAGATGTTTGAAAGAAAGTACAGCAAAATAGTAACACCTATGCTTTAAGTAGAAACACTAGTATTTATTAAGAAACATTATTTGGTTAAATATTAACCAATTTAAATGCAGATTCAAGATTATTGTATAATATCTATTTCCTTAGCAAGTGGCTGCCTCTTTTTGCAACTTTCCCCACATGCTGATAAGAGTGATCAAAAGAAGTGCAAAACAAGCAGTGCAGACAAATGTGCAAAAGGTTAAAAGTCAAACTGTACTAAGCATGGCACTTCTGCGTTGGAAGAAAGTAGTCCTGACTGACAAGAAGGGAAGCGGGTTGGAGAATGTCTAAGAGAATGTAAGTGCTTAAATGCAATCCAATATATAAAAACTGAATCTAGAACTGGCATTCACTCCTACTGCCAGTTTGGGCTATGTTCATGATCTGCACTTGAAAGAAACTCTGAAGCAGTATGTTCTTAAGGCCCAGCTACTGAAAGAAATATGCTGTATTTTCTTGTATAACATATACCCACAAATAAGACATGTGCCTTATTTGGGGAAGGCAGAATGAAGAAAACAAAGATTTTTCCAGTCATAGCTGAGTCCTGACTACATGAGATCCTGACCACATGGCTGAATTATGACTGTTGCTGCTGACGCAAAAGCTATTGCCAATTTGGCAGCATCCGTGAAAGGGTTAAAATTAAATGCTACAGATTGCACTTCTTGCTCCTCTGTGGCTAGAAAATGACAGACCAAGGAGCCACTGCAGCAGTCCCTATGGTTCAATTCCTACAAAGAAGTCAGCTTCCTCCTTTGAGAGAGACCCCAATTTTAGAGGGCTGATTTTTGCAGTAAAAGGTAGCTGTATTATGCAAGTAAATCTGGTGTTACATTCTAAGAAAAGAGCATCTCTGAAAAAAGGCTAGCTTCTACGGCTGTGCGAAGCTTTGGGTGCCGATTCGATTCGGAGGGGATTTGGACGGATTCAGTGGCCGAATCCCCAAATCTGAATCAAATCAGGAGACCAATTAAAAGGTCTGAATTAATTCAGAAAAGATTCAGAGAGCTTCAGTGATTTGGGCAGTCCCCACTCACTGCATCAGTGAGCTGGACCCAGACTCCACAATGGTAAGTAGAGGCCAGGGGAGGGGAGGCTAGAGGAGGGGGGACGGGACCATGGGGGGACACCCACCAGGACCCATCCCCTGCCTGCTTCCCCAGCCCACCTGAGTGCCCCTGACCCTCATCTGCTCTCCCAGCACCCCCCATGACTGCCCTGCCTAGCGCCAGCTCCTGGGTCTAAAAAAAAGCCCCCACATTCACTGGCTGCTACCAGGCAGGGTGGGGGGTGATCCCTGCTTCCCCTCACTGCTCCATGCTGTGTAGGGGGCTGTCACAAGCCCCCCAACCATGCCCACTCTCCCAGCCCCCCAGCCCTTGGCTGCGCTGCCTGACCCCAGCTCCCGGCCCTTTAAATAAAAAAAAAAAAAAAAAAAAGCCCAGAATCACCAGCTGTTGCAATGGCCTCAGGGCTTCTGGGGGCTCATGGCAGAGCTGCCCATGCAGTGTGGGCAGTGGGGGGCAGCGTGGATTGCCCCCCCTGCCTGGCAGCAGCTGGTGAGTGGGGGCTTGTTTTTTTTTTGTGTTTTTTTTTTTTAAAGAGCCAGGAGCTGGGACAATGGGTGGGGGATGGGGCTGATTCAGAGATTTGGCTGAATTGGCAGTGGCCAAATCTCTGAATCAGATTCAGCCAAATTCATTTGAGACAGTGATTCAAATCACCGAATCGAATCACTGTCCCCCGAATCAGCCAAATCTGAATCCAAAGCAAATACTAGCTGTTTTGCACAGGTCTACTAGCTTCCTAACCACCAGGCCAACTTGTGTTTGCTGAGAAATCATACCAATAAGTAGGTATTTGCTTGAACAATTGCAAAAATGATATTAGTATGCAAGAAGAATTTTCAGGTAGTATAGCAGTTTCACAAAACCAAGCAAACCTCATCTTATCAAATTAAACTGTTAAGGATTTATAAGTACTTGCATTTTGCAGTGCTTTCAGAGACATAGTTCTTGAGCCCAGACTGAAGTGCTACCTGACACACTGGTCCACCAGGAGTTTGCAGAGTATTCATTTAAACTGCATATGTTCCAATTATGTATATAAAGACCAATAAAAGTAAAGAACAAGAGAGAAAAGGTTAACTAAAAACAAAGAAAAACAAAGGAGGAGCATGGACTAGTATATCCAATGTTTTGAAACATAATGGTTGGAAATATTGTATGCCCATTTTTCTTAAGCCTAAAGATTGTTTTACACAGAAGTATTACCTAGATAGTATTAGTTTCACACAAAGAACTGACTATAATGTGTTATTAACTCAGATTTTCAGATTTTTTTGTTTACTTTTAAAAAGACATAGAAGTCTATTTGCAATCTGGAGAGAGACTTGAGATAATATTTTTGTATCTCAAAGGGATATGTAAGAAAATCCTTGCATATTGTTTAACTTCTCCTGGCGTTTCCAAATTATTCATCTCTTTCCACTGAAACAATTTTATCTTTTTTATTGATTAATTAGAATAAGTAGGTGTATAAAGAAGTTTTATCATCACTTACCTTATCATTGACTACACTTTTTCCATCCCAAGCCCATCCTCTTTTTGTGAAGTAATTTACAGTGGCAAATTCTATCAATGCAGAGAATACAAAAGCATAACAAACAGCAATAAACCAATCCATAGCTGTTGCATAAGCTACTTTTGGGAGCGAGTTTCGAGCACTGATGCTCAGTGTTGTCATTGTAAGCACAGTTGTTACTCCTGTTGAGGGGAGGAGAAAAGAAAAATGTCAGTTATTTTAATAGGCTATAGAACTGAAACATCTTACAGCATATTTTTAAGAATGATAAGAAAGAAGTCTCATACAAGTGAATCAAACCATTTTGTAGCAACACAGAAAAAAGGAGATGTTGATAAGCCTGTTTAAAATGCCAATGTACCTTCATCACCTCATAGTTTACTTCCGAAGCATAGGGCCCCAACTTGGCCAACTAGAGGGCACCCTGACTTCAGCTGCATAGCAAACAATGGGCTGTGGTAAATGCCAGCTGTCTTGACTGAAGATAGACTGTGGCCTCCACTGGGAACAGCAAAGTCTTTACTAGTGGCTGTACCACTGCCACATGCAATGACACCAAGGTAAACTGGTTAACTTGGGTGGACAAATGTACCCTGTGGGTCAGATATAGCCTGCCAATTGATTGCATCTAGCCTGAGGCTGCCCCCATAGTCCTCCGCATGAGGCAGAGCCCCACTCGCATCTACCTGGGGCAGCCTGCATCCTGCCCGCATCTGCACCCACACCTGCCAGTGGCACTGCCCTGGCCCAGCCCCAGCCCCAACCCCAGCCAGTAGGGCTGCTCCTGCAGCCGCCCAAGTACCACTTGGCTCCTCCTACCTCCAGTGGCTCCTCCTCCTCCTGTCCCTGCTGCACCACTCTGGGCAGCAGGTAGACCATGGAAGCCATGGGGATGCATGGCAAGCATCAGATACCCAAACAAAAGTGGGGGAAGCTGTAGCTGGGTGGCTCTTGCCTCAGTGTATTGGCTTCCAGCATCCAGCTGCCTTCAACTTATTTGGCCACCTGCAGGTGGCTACTCATCATGCTGGGCAGGTTGAGTGGATGGAAGGTGGCTAGGAGCTGGAGCTTTTCACACTAGGGTAGGAGGTGCCCACCTGAAGCTTCCCCCCACACCTGAAGCAGCACAGCAGGGGCAGGAGGAGAAGGAGGAACTGCTGGAGATGGGGGGAGCCAATCAATACCTAGGCAGCTGCAGCAGCAGTGGCAGCAGCCCCATAGGGAAGCTGTGCATGCTGGCCAGGGCCAGGGATGTTGGCAGGTGCTAGGTGGGTGTGGACCAGAACTCAGCGTGGGCTGCCCTGAGCAGGAGCAGGTGGTGCTCAGCCCTATGTGGAGCACTATGGGGGCAGCCATGGGCCGGATGGGGGCACACCTGCATCATACTGCCTGTGCTAACTCTGCTGAACATATCCTCTGCTCCCCCCTCCCTCCCTGTCTCCACCCCCAGCTGGCTCCTGGGGCCTAGCACAAGGTCAGCCCCCAAAAAGTGCACCCCCCACTCCCACCCATCCCCCCCACCACTATACAAGAGACTTTATTTTGAGCTATTATGCAATTGCCTCTATATACACTAATCAACAAAACAATTCAAGACAGAAATATTTTTAAATAAAATTAAAATATAACAGATGTTTGATTTTTAGTATATGATTTGTTTTTCATCTATAATTTGTTAAAATGATATCTTCTGAAAGATATTGTATGTGCGGCCCTTGACAACTAGCCAAACCTCATTAAGTGGCCTGTGATGAGCTGTGAGAGGTGATCTGATAGACTGACAGGATCCTTCTGGTCATATATTGTATTCATTAATATTATTTAAAAATACAGAAATAAACTATTTGCATTTTGTCATGTCCCACTGATGGGCCATAAGGCCATTCTCTAAACAAACAAAAAGAGGATAGGCAGAGGGAGGGAGAAAAGGAAATTATTTCAGTAATCAGAGTGCTTAGAGACATGTTGCCTACATACATATTCTCACATTTGGGAGTGCTCAGCCTCTGAGACTTTTGACCAGAAACTTTTTTTTATCCTGGCAGTACCTACATTGTAAAGCAAAGGGGAGGTTAAAGATAGCTTGTGCCCTGGTGCAGTAAGCTCAAGCCACTGATGGCAGGCCATCTTGGCCATATCAGAGAAGAATCCTAATAGATGGAGGAGGTACATCAGTAGGATGAAAACTGGTAGAAATAAGGTTGGATCAGGATGAGACTGGACAGACCCAGTGAAAATGGGTCACTCACCCAGCTTCCTTATCAAAACCTGTCAGTTGTGTGGTCATGGTTTCCAGCCCGTTTATTTTACATAGGGCAACTTTGTCCCCAGAGTAAATAAAACAAGCAACTGAGCAGACAGAAAACAAACCTGTCTTTCTTCAGACCTTGGGAGGCAATACCTAGGCTCTGCTTCTCCCTCAGCACCCCCACATCCTTTCTTCTTGCCCCTTGCACTCTGCTCCTGAGGCTCTCAACCCTCTCCATTGCTGCACCCTCATATACTAGTTATCAGCTGCAGCTTTATCAGCCTTTCAGCCAGGCAGACTATTAACTGGTGACAACGTGCAGCTGGGTGTCAGCACCCAGAAGGCTGAGCAACTCCTTACACCCAGATAAGGTTGTTTCCTTGAATATAGTAAAAAAGGAGCCTTAGGAGGCTAGAATGGGTGGGACTAGATTAGGATCACACTTGATGCTGAAAACACGATACTCATGAGTATGGTACCAGCAATTCTGAGGATGAAGGGCAAGGCAGAGCCATAGATAGTAAAGAGAGTCACGATGGAGTCTGTAAGTCTCATGTCAAATGGCCTGATGGCTTTGGTACTAAGGACAGCCCAGCCAGGATCAAATCAGTGTTATGGAGATCTACTTCAGTCAAAAGGTAGTCACCTTGCCATGGTGCTACAATATACAGAACGTGATGATGATACTAATTTACAAAAAATACTTCTTTCACTTCTTGCTACAGGAGGTCTCAACAGGGATTATGAGTCCCTGATCCATAGGAGTGGATAGACGTGAAGATTTAATGTGTTCAGCTCTACAAGTGCTTGTGGAAGGCCACTTAGAGGAAGTCCAAAGCAGTTGGATACAAAATGGGAGTGCTGCATGGCACAGCTGCAAAACAAAAATAGTGAGAGTGAGGGTGGGAACATATGAGGTATCTATTCTGAAGCCCTCAAAAATGATTGAGAAGAGAACAAAACAAAATTAAGAAATTGATTTTGAAATATGGAAGGAAAAACTATAAGGAATAAACTGACAACCTGAGACTTAGGCAAGCACAGGCTGCAAAAAATAACTGACAAAGAAAATGCTCCGACTTAACTAGAAGACTAAGATGAACTGAAGGCAGGAGTGTGTGCTCCACCATTTGTTCCTTTGGTGCAGGAGGAGGCAGAGGAGAAATACTGGAGCACAAAGTATAGCTATTTCCAAGATAAAACTGTCTCTGGTCAGAGGCTCTGGGACTGAGAATACCCATATGAGAATGTATGTGAAGAGCTGTTTGAAAGAAAGGATTTAGTTTCTACAAAATCTTCTCGCCCATATATTTTTATAGAGAAAAAACACAAGCTAAAAGCTCTAGTCAACCACACAGAAGTCACACCCAAATAACTATCATTTTTTCAACTGCAGAATTGCATTAAAATTAATTTCTCCTGAAAAAGGAACAGTTTCAAGTAGAATACATACCAGAGCTGAAACATATCCACGCACTACTAATGACATGTCAGCTAAAGGAGACTCAGTGACAGAAAAAAAATATTCATAGCATATCTTACCTTACAATTACTACAAATAAACACATCTTTTTATAACTTGTGAAGGTTACTAACAGGAAAAAGCACCAGGCTGCCAAAAGAGTAGGAGTAAATATTCATTCTACAGGAAGGAATTTTGGCATCAGATGAAAAAAAAAGAAGCGAGGGAAAGGAAAAACTCAAGCAGAACTTTTATCACTGGATACCAGAACACCACGCTTTGTGGGATGGATCTCACCTGCACCTGTTTACTTTACCAGTGAGGTGCTTTAAAGCACCATTAGGAAAAGGGGAGGAAACAGCTACTGGCTATGCTTGGTTCCCTTTTACCCGATCTCTTTTTCTAGGAAGAGGATTGATATAAGCAGATTCAACTTCTGCTCTTCTATTCCTTCCTTCCATTCCAGCAGAGGACATGAGTTAAAAACAAAAACATAATTCTGATTGATTACCTACAGTATGGGCAGAAGACCAAACAGAAAGTGGTGCTTTGTTTTACTTTGTTTTGATTGTCTTTGTTTTCCAAAATCCACTATGTAAGGAAGAAGTATTAGTTTTAAAATCAAGTCTGACATCATTATGACCAATGTGAACTGCTACACTGTTCAATGGAAAGGAAGTGAGAATGCAGAGTAAATATTGTTAAAGCATTATTAAATTTCCATTACAACTACCTCAAAGTACTTTTAACTGATTACTTTCAATTCTTCGTCTCAATACAAAAAGAATTCATAGTTTAAATTCTGAAGTTACATATGTAAATTTCAATATAGGCCATGAACTTCAGATGAATCATTCTAATTATACCTTAGGTTTTATATCTTATCAGAACTAGATATCACAGGTATCTATGAAGTGATTCTCTCTCAATGATAAAGTGACCTTTGTCCCTGTATCAATACACAGAGAAGCCAAGATAATTCATGGCTACTGAAGAAGACTAATTTTTTTGAAGCCACAATGGCCATTTCAGAATTCTAATTTGAGTTTGCTAGTGACTTTTTCTAATCTTGTTTTAAATGTCATTAGTTTAACATCTTACACCCTGCTACCAGTTAACAATCCCTACACAAGTTTAGCCATATACTTTGTGTCCTTTTATTCAAACAGTGAATCACCATACAGTTGCTAGTGAAGGTTCCTGGACTTCTATTTACTCATTCAATAAATTCAATGATGTCCAGGCAATCAGTATTCACCTATAGTGAATGAGGAACAAATTAAAGAGAAAAAGTTATACTACAATTTCAAACTTTGAACATGGGTGTCTGTGGCACTTTTATACTTATATTCCTCTTCAGTCAAAAGGCAGCAGATTTGATTATTAGAATTAACCAAAATGAAACAAAAATATCTGTATTACCAGGTTCCTTTAGGATGAAGCATGGTACAGAAATAACTTTTCACTATTGG